CCACTACTTTAGCAAGCTGTGATTCACAATCGCAAATATTTGGTTACAACCTACGAAGCTTATTAAAATGAATTCAGCCACATATACGAGTAATACGACGTTGGAAAGGTTGACTCTGAGGTCTTGTTTTGTAAACAGACATAAACTATGATCATGTGATGTACCATAGACTATCTTTTTAAACGAGGGATTTAGGTTTTGTGTTATGTACCAACTTTAAGAAGCTGGGGGTGCTGGAAGCTGAGCTTTCTGGTTGGGGATACTTTTTGATTTTTGTGTCATTATAGAGGCTTGAGATAAATCACACTTTTCCCTAAGCTGAGCTGCTGAGGTTTAAGCTGATGTGTGTGCCAAGGCGCTATGCATGTGTGATCACAGCTCATTCCCAGGATGGCCTGTTTTCTTACAGGTTTTCGCAGTAAATATATATCACTCTGAATAAACAATGTACCTTTATATTAAGTGCACTCATAGTTCTGATACCCCTGGTTTAATCTGAGGAGTTACGTCACATTCTTTTGTTTACCTTGCCCTTGGTCATATGCTAATTATGTTACTGGTGGATAATTGTACAACCTGTATAATTAAATATCTATTCTTGTTTATTGCAGAGTTATTCCACAATGACACACCCCTTTCTGGGTGGAAACTGAACATACAATTAAAGCTTGATAATTTCGAACAATTGTATTTTAATACATGCTTTCAGAAAGTATATCACCTTTGTTATAGGCTGTAGAGTCTCATTTTCATGATTGAGACATGTCAAATACACAAAGACGAGGCTCCATGGCCAAAGTGAGATACTTTCTGGTAGGATGTACAGTATTTTACTTTTTTGTAGACTTATTACAAGCAGTAAACAATTTAAAAAACAAAAATGTATAATTTTAATTCTTCCTAATTTAGTGGAGCACATGTGCTCTGCTAACTTTACACTTCAATAAAGTTATCATAATCATATAATTATTTATTATGTTGTTATGGTATTATAATTATAACTTCATTTTGTTGTTCTGCATGTTTTCCATGTTGATGTCTGTGTCATCTCTTGTGTTGCATATAAACAGATCCAGCACTCTCCCCTTGACTAGTAAAATTGTCTGACGTTAGATAGATTAAATTAATACAGTAATTAGGCATATCAAGACACATTGCCACTCGAAGGGTTAACATGTGTGTGTGTGTATATATATATATATATATATATATATCTATATATATATATATATATATATATATATATATATATATATATATATATATATATATATATATATATATATATATATATATATATATATATATATATATATATAGACACATGTTAATACTTCAAGTGGCAATTATTAATATGTCTTATAATTGATATGCCTTACTGTATTATTTTAATCTATGTAACATCAGACAATTTTACTAGTCAAGGGGAGAGTGCTGTCACTATGGTGCAATACATGATCTCAGATTTTTACCAAAACCATTGATCCGAGCTTCAAAATTAACGCCCGTATTCTAAAAGCTCGCTCACACTCAATAAGTGGAAGTTAAATCTGAGCTTCTCTCAAGTGTCATTGCTGTTTTTGAATAGCTGGAGGGCTGGTGTCATACTTTACTATGTGACTACTCACCCTCCAGCTATTCAAAAACAGCATTGACACTCCATTCATTTAGTGTGAGTTAGCTTATGGGCGTAATTGCATGTTTTTTTCTTATTCAGGAATGCATGCAATTCTAATGTTAGAAATGTGGTAGCATTCTGAATTTACCTGGTTAGTGCATCAGTGCATTCAGTGACTCACTAATTATCCCGAAAGCTTGTGGACAACATTTTTGTTCATGCCATGCATGTATCTAAGTAGTTCTGAACAGACAATGGCAAAGTGTTATCTATTTTTTACCCCATTCCAAGACTCTGCCTGGACGAGTAAAAGATCTGGATTTAGTCTCACAGAGTAAAATAAGAATGTAGGGTTCATTTGGGCACATTGCTGCTTCATGGGCTGACTATATCTCAGGGGCTGCTCATTCGCAGACAGTTTATTTTAACACACTGAGTGGCAGCAGTGAGCAGTCGACTCGAGATCCTTAAAATTGTCTGGCATTTAGCAGACAGTGTAAAACCAAATAAAAATAGAAAAGCACATGTAGGTGGGCCTCCTCCACTCAAATCTCTCTGGTCTTCAGGTCTTGTGCTTATCTATATATATTAATCCTGCACTATGATGGGCAAGTATATAAATTTCATACCCTGTTAAATCTTGATGAACATGTGTAAATTAAACTATATCTATGGTGTAAAACAACCACAATAATTACAAGCATTAAAAACTGGCAGTCTGTCTGGCAATAAAACCAAAAGGCCAGTGCAGACACAAAACAACATAATTTCATGCACACAATATCTAATCATTAACAATATGTCTGCTATTGGAATATTTGCTGTATATATTTATAGGATGATGAGTTTTTGTTTTGACATATGAGTGATGTGACCTGATAACCAAGAATCTTACTTGAATCTTACCTGAAAGAATTAGTCTTTCTTTGTAGTGAAGTGCTACATCCACAAGCGAAACAAGTAATGTTGGAGGAAAATATTATGAAAACTGAAAATATTTGTGCAAAAGCCAGGGGGTTAAGAACATCGTCCAAAGCTTAGGATCGCGGTTGATCAGTGGCAGTTACCATGAAAATTTCGGAAGTGTTGCCATGGAAATGGCGTAAGATCCTCCATGTTTTCGGTTTAACTATTTTTATGCCGAGCAGATCCTCCAGTAGATTGTATAGCTCTGTGGTCCTAACCCCAATCCTAATCCATGTCCTAATCATCTTGTGAGCATGTTTTAGCTAAATTTCGCAATCCTTAGTACATGCATGAGGCCGCAATGGAAAGTCACACTTGCGACAGCCAAGAAAAACACGAAAAAGACAGCAAGGGCATTCTATGACACTGACTGTGGTCGTAGCTACGTACGATGCTGTATAAAGATATAAAGATATCAAGATATAAAGCACTCAAAAATTAATAAATTATTTCACCGACTTATGTAAAAAAATCCACGAATTTTCCACGCGCACGACGCGAGAATGACGTCTGACTAAATCACCTTCAAATTCTACTAATATCTGTGGGGAGCATCCTTAAGAACAAAATTAAATTACAGCTTGACCTGCAAATAGCTATAAAGTTAATCGAAGCAAGAAAGATAGATAGAAAATAATTTTACACAAAGTTGAGGGAAAGAATACTTTTTACATAAATTTCCTCTGAAGTAAATGACCGTGTACTGTGTGAGTGAATAGTGAATGATATTGTTTGTCAAATAAGTGCAATATATTTAGTGGTGCATTTTCATTATTTAGGTCGTACATTATGAAGAAAATTACCGATAACATATGAGCATCATGAAATAAGGGAACTGCATGATAGCGTCATTCTGTAAAATAACATACGAATTACCCTCTTCTTGAGAATTAAAATTTCTTCAAGATAGGTCCTACATGCTTGACCCCATGCTGCAACACCGTCAGTTAAGACTTCGAAATGCGAAAGCTGATTGCGCGGACCTTCGGAAGCTTATTGCGTGTAACTAGCATATCTGCCATTTACATGTATGGCAGACGATCATGGACAAAACTGTAAATAAAATAGATCAAAATTTTAGGAACATACATTCAAATAACTTCATTATGTCCCCCCTCCCCCCGTTCTTTCTCTCTTCCGCCCAATGTTGCCATTATTTTCCCCATATTTTAAACGTAATTCAATAACATTGTGTTGGGGGAAGCGGGGGGATTTTAGGCAACATATAGGATTCAAACAACAATTTTTAAGTTCCGCAGTGGCAGTTTAAATTAACACGTATTGCAATTCGTGAAGAGCATCCAAGCCTTGGGATGATTAGTTCCCTCATGGTCTAATTTTCGAATAAAACTCCATTCCCGTCGTGTCTGACAATAATGCCAAGTCAGGAACATATTTCTGTTTTAACAGGAAATTTTAATCAGGGCTCAGAATGGCAACTCCCCCAGAACCAGCACCAGAAGCGCCAGCTGTTGGTTTCAATCTTTTCTTGGAACTAAGAAGGTTGGGCATGACCTTGAGATTCAGATGCAGCACAGGTGTTGTAGTCATATTGGGTGTAGCAGGCGTTACATTAGGTGCCATTTTCGGCAGAGAAGAAATCAATCCTGTTGTTCAAAGCATATGCAATGCTGTCTTTGGCACCTGTACAGTGACGGAAGGGTCCATAGTTGTCGATGTTGACTGTTTTACAGTAGCGCGAGTAAAAGAACTACTAGATAGTCACAAGTGTGGAAATCTCAAACGAAAATTTTTGGAAGAGGTACAAATGATTCGCGGCATGGTCAAAGATTTAAAGATAAAATTTGAGGTTCAGGAAACTTTGGAACTAAACGAAGATCGCAATCACAGGTTTGTTTCATTTTATGTTAACTTTGCAGGAATAAAATATTTAAAAACACCACCCCAAAGAGCAACCTCGTTCCCAGGCTCTTTCCTCTTGTGGAGGAAAGACCCTGGTGGACGCTGGTCACGTGCCCATGGAAAATTGATAGGTTAAAATGGAAAAGTCTCATATTACAGGTTTCCACTTCCGCAATTCGCAATTCGATTGCAAGTAGTGGCCGTTCTGTACAATCATCTTTGAGAATTATATATATTTCAAAATACTTGCTGAATTGTTTTCTGTTTGGTTTTAAATTATACAAACATGCTAAAATGCAGTTTCTTATAGGAACTGACAAGTCAGGAAATCAAGCAACGAATTAAAACGTATGACCGTATTGCCCTTTAATTCTCTCGGGGTTCGGACGCAGTTTCATTTCACGCGTACGTTTATTTCTGGTTCAGATATTTATA